CGCGCTTTACTTTGGTTATGTTATAACACACTTTCATTCAGTTTTCACTATACCTTAACTGGTATATCTTTTGTGAAGAAGAGGAAGGCTGTCTCACTCACAAACGATTGCATATTCAGTACTACATGTAAGGGGCAACTGGGTAAACAATTCTCAAAGGGGGCAAGTTTCTTCAAAGAAACTGTGTTGCTGCATTGGTAGAGGGATTTACGAGATAAACTGGTTTTATCAACTGTGTTGACAGTGTGAATTGGTTACTCTAAGAGTTTCTGAAGCTGATATATTTTTTAAACAATTCTTTATGAACCAATTGCACGGGCCATCATAGTTGAATTCATTGCAGCATTTAATATGTCTACTGGTATTGGTAAGAAAATTTTGGGTGTTAAAATTAAAGTAATTTAAAGCAATTCAATATACATCAGAAAATTGGATAACAACCACATTAATTTTTGAAAAAATTGTGCATCTTTTGTTTTTCAACATGTTATTGTGTCAGCTGATAAATAATTGTTCTGAAACTTTTAGTCACTGTGCTGTGACCAGTCATCCTACACTCTGGAGAGTTGTTGGTCACGTTCATGACTTCTTAAATGGAGCATCGTTCTACATTTGGATTTATCAGGTCAGGTTTGATTTGTTATACTGTAAACACCAATGTATAGGCTGCAGCATTTTTCCCAAAATGTTTAGGGATGTGGCTTATCTACAAGAATCTATATGTAACCTCAGTTATTTATCGCGATTTTTACTCTTACCTTTATTTTAGAAGAACATCGATTGCTACCTATGCATGCAATACAAACTGTTCTCAGTAGGAGGATGTGACCTTCATATTTTTATCCAGACTGCCATCCACTTCAGATTATTTGACCATCCTTCAGAAAGTTTCAACTGTGGAAGTGGTCAAACATAGCTCCACAGTTGATTCATAGCATGATCTGAAACATAAAAATTACATAATTTATATACAGTTGTTTCTCGGTTACAAGGCACAGGGTTTTTTCAAGAAAATTCTCTCTTTGGGTGGAAAGTTAATGCTGAAAAAAGGGTGCGTCTTATAGGCAATTTTTTTTTGTGCAACTAAATCTTAAAGTCACAATTTTAGGAGAACTTACCGTTAAAAAGTCAAGAAAAGGACACTAATTGGTGGTCATTGACTGTTTTAGATCTAGTGGTTCGGAAATGAACATATATTTAATTATTTTTATTAAAAACTGGATCATTGGATAAGTGCAATTCAAGACTTTTTATTGGCTTAGCCATTATGGTATATAAGCCAATATACCATAATCTACAAATAAGGTAAGCGTACGTGTCAGCTTAAAATTAAATTAAAAGGGAGCTAAAAAATTTGTCTAAAATAAAAGATTTGTCTAATATCTCGACGGCGTTTTTAAAAAAAATTATTCCACTCGTGCTTGTTGGATATGAGATGATTGATAGCCAACTCGGCGCTACGCGCCGCGTTGGCTATCTATCATCTCATATCCAACAAGCGCTCGTGGAATAATTGTTAAATAGCCAAAATCCCTCAACCCCCCACCCCCTTCCCCCCGTCGATAAAAATACTGACCGGTCCCTTAGTCAGTGGTCTGGTAGAGGACGCCATGTCAAATATATTAGCGCCTCACTGCTCTAAAACTAAGTCATCGCTCAACTGCATTTTCTATCCATTACAAGGGAGCTAAAAATTTAAGATTTGGTAAGATTAATGCCTAACATCTTGGGGGCATTTTTAATAAAACAATTATTCCACTCACACTCGGTGCTACACATCTCGTTGGCTATCTATCATCTCATATCCAAGGTGCCCTCGTGGAATAATTGTTAAGTATATAATTACCGGTATATGTTGACGTTATAATTATATGTTAACATATTTTATTTATATGCTAACATCATTATATGTTAACACATACTTATATAATTATATGCTGATTTGGGAAAATAAAAAGACTACACTTTCATCCCTACAAGCCAGCTTCATGATTGCTCACTCTTCAGGGGAGGTTCAGAGTAAGAAGCAGTAGTATTGTTATTATTATCGTCAAAACTGACTGACTATGAATCTATTTTCAGCATGTTTTTGGTCATCACCCTTACACTAACATTGATGGAATGGATCCTGATATTGTCACCTCTGAGGATGTAAGTTTGAAAAATAAAATGTATGTATTGAAGTGAATATGAGCCGTTGTGCTGTAACAAAAGAATTTCAGTAAAGATGCTTGTCTCGAGTGTGGGACAGAGAAAAAATTCTGAGTTTGAATTGATCAAGAATTGAACCTCAGATCTGAGAAATCAGAGCAAGGAATCTGAAGGTTTGATTCCTTGTTGCAACTCAAATGTTTTTTTGTCTCATGCTTGTGACACGACGGAAACAACATATTTCTACATTTCATAAGCTCAAAATTGATCATCTATCTGATCCTGTGTTCTCGAATGATTTTCAAATTATTATGTGCTGTCAGAGTGCTTTTCAACTGATTAGCGTAAAACAGCCACAAACCAAAGTTATCAAAACAACCAATCAGAAGAAAGGAAAATTCCCTGAAGAGCCAACTGAGGTCTCAAAGTCCTAAAAAAAAAGCACAACTTCAAAAGCGCGGGAAAAGGCGGATGACCAAGTCGTAATTGGTTTTAGTTTTGCTTCTGATTGGTTAAGAGAGTGGCGCAAGTTTTCTGAACCAATCACAGAGCAAAGTGAAGCTGAACCAGTTCAATCCAAAATAACTGTCGACACACAATTCAAAGTTGCTCTAATGTAACGTACCATTGTATTTATCGATTGAAGTGTGCTTATAAAAATCTAACTAAAGTCTGATTCAATGAAGCTACATCATGTTTCGTGTCGTTTGTCAGGATGATGATATTAGACGGATTAAATGGACTCAAAAGTGGGTACCTCGTTACGTGTATCAACATGTCTATGTGCCTCTTGTTTACTGTTTGGTAAGTTTTTGACAATAATATCATAACACTTACTGGCTTAAAACCAAAAAAATATCTCACACGAGTAAGTGAATTTTATGCAGCGTGTTACAAGGTTTTTCTGCCCTGAGAAATGCCATGACTGCACACGTGTTTGATATATCGCCAATCAGCTGCTGAGACGTCAATCGTCTTTCGCGCCACTCTGTCAGGTTGATGAAAGAATGCCAAAACGTTTCTTTTTAGTATAGGCCTATCTATGGAGTTAATATAATGAACAAAAAAAATCGTGGCTGTGTTTAGGAATGGAGTTTCTCTTCTCTTGTTGAACTTGACATCGCACTCGTTCGCTGAACTCACTCATGAGATATCGAATCGAAAGTTTATGTCTACGGAATGTATTATTCTCTGTTTTCTTTACCGTTACAAAACTTTTTTAACTAAAGTAATTTCGTCAATTTGCATTTGAAGAATGACAAATGTTTCTTGCCTCATCCCTTACAATACGTGTGGCAAATTTTGTTGTTAATGCATTTCCACAGCTTGGTCTCAAGACAAGGATCCAGGATATTACCATATTATTCTTTACAAAGAAAAATGGTGAGTTTAAGGGTTTGACTACTAACCCTTTAACTTCCATAAGTGACCAAGACAGAGTTTCTCCTTACAATATCAATACAATATCCAGCAGACAAGTGATGAGAATAAAGAAAAAGGGGATAACTAGTTGATCCAATACCAAATTCTCCAAACTAACATCATAAGAATTGTATGACAGACAGTTAGGAGAATTACTAATGAGATCTTGGGAGTGAAAGAGTCAAAAGTGTTATCCACTGGTTTGAAACCTAATTACTGCTTATGGCCACACTTTGCCTTGAATTTGTGAAATTTGTCTAATTAATTTCATTATTCAGTTCATCCAAAGAAGTACATGTATTTTGACTATGTAATGATAAATTTGCTTAGTTTTTATGTTTTAGTACTTCATAGCACAGGTGTCTCTGTAATGCTTTCTTCAGTTTTAGCTGCTGTACCCTCGACTGGTTATCCGAGAACACTGCGATTAATTTTTAGTTTTGCATCTGATTCGTGGTAAAGGCGGTCGTTAGGGTCCCACCGAAAACATACACAGTACTGTGCATTACGTTCTTAACTCCAACAGCTTCAAAATGCTAAATTGACAACAACTTCGTGCTTTGGATCATTTCAATGACATACCTTTAACGGCTTGTAACAAATTTACTTTTAATGTTTGCCTCTTAGGTGTTATTCGAATAAATCCTCCATCCAGTTCCCAGTTAACTGTATTTATTAGCGGCAAGCTGTTCTTCCTTCTGTACAGAGTGATAATTCCTTGTTTTTTGCTCTCAATTTGGAAAGTGGTAAGTTGGATATAACCTTACCTTCCTTTAATAACCTACCTCTGTCTGTTAATTTAGTATATTTGACTTTTTAAAGCCATACCAAGCAATTTTGAGAGAGGCGCGCTTCATCACAACGTTTTTTGCTAGATTTTCGTAGAACCCAAATAAAAGTAAACACGACGACTAATCACAATAGCGCTAAATAACACGTGGAACCAACGAGATTACAGAGTGAACGCCCGTAAGCGCGGGAAAACGAAAGTGATTAAGTAATCTGATTGGTTTAGAGGTTGGGGCCGTTTTTGTGTCACCAATTACAGTGCATAGTAAAGCAGAGCTAGCCTGCTGCAATTCACGAACTTCTATCCCATACCTTGTTATACATACCTGCCACCTGCCCGGAGACCTGGTACAAGCAGGCGAAATGATGATTGATTCTTACTTGAGTTGATCACAAATTAAAAAGATCGCGATCCATTTACTTCCTTAGTGCATTGTAAACTCTTCCCCGAAATCAGTGTGGGGTTAACCAATAGAATCCATGTTACCATGCGTTTGTTCAGTAAAGGATCACTGATAACGTCAAAATGTGCTATGAATAAAGATTAGTACAAGAGGCATAGCTGAGTGTGTTACTGGTCTTCTCACCATGTTATGGCGTCTTCTGTGCCTTATTACTAACCGCCTCCCGGTTTGCTAAATGGATAGAGCGCTGGACTGTTGTGCGAGAGGTCGAGGGTTCAAGCCCCGGCCGGACCAACACTCAAGGTCTTAAAATAATTGATAAGAATATGCTACCTTCCTATAACATAAAGAAATGGTTAGATATTCTAGTCTTCTCGGATAGGGACGAATAAATGGAGGTCCCGTCTCCTACAGGGTTAGGGGTAGGAGACGTTAATTTCTCACGCACGAGGTTACTGTGTGATGGATGTCCTCCCCTGGGGTGGGATGGGTGGGATTTAATGGGTGGACTACTTGCGTGGATCGCATATGTTCCGTTCTAGTCCTACTCTACTGCAGCAATGCAGTGAAAATGGTTAGAAACAAACCCACGGCAACATGGATTCTATTTATTTTACATGATAAATAATGCAGGGCTCAAAATTTTAAAAAATTCTAAGTCGCCTTTTGGCGACTATCAGAGAAAAAATGGTCGCCAAGTGCAAAAATGCGATCGCCAGATAGTACAAGAACAGAAATCAGATTAGAGCCTTATTCAATTGCCGTTGTTGTTCGACTTCTGGTGGATTGTGGCTGCGATTGTGGGGTAGACCGAAATACTCGATCTTGAATGACTTAAAACATGAAAACACAAAAGTAGAACTCCGAAAGACTTAGGCATGACAGTCTTACCTTAAGCAGTAAGCGAAAAAAGTAGTAAGAACATTTCAGGGCTACTTTAGCGAGGAAAATATGTCACATCGCATGCAAGAAATCGTACGATACGAAGGCATCAAACATTTTCCAAACATGGCGGATAGGCATTTAGTACCAGACCTCCTGTTTTCAACGGATTAATTTTAAATTCAGAAGCTTTTCAACAAAATATTGCGCCCGCGATCACCATGAAGAAGCCACTGTAATATGTCGTCTCGGAAGACGTAATTTGAAAGCCATTTCAAGATTTAGCCTAAAAGTAAACAGACTTAATTTGCATTTCCTTCGGCAGAAAAGCAGAAACGCAGAAACGAGACTTAAGAAATTTTTCTCATCTACAATCTTTTATTTATCAGAGGAAGTTAGTTTAGTCGCCAAAGTGGCGACTAAACTCTAACTTTTATTCGCCAAGTTAAGAGTTTTAGTCGCATTGGCGACCGTATCGGTCGCAATTTCGAGCCCTGTAATGTATTTAAAATACCGTCATCTTTGCGTCTTTCCTCCAATATATCATAACCAAGAACCAATCAAAATACATGTTCAGTTTACCTTAATATTTAACAATTGTTTTTACAGATCGTGCTCTTTATCATCGCGGACATGGTTGCTAGCTATTGGTTAGCGCTAACCTTCCAAGCATCCCACGTAGTGAGCGAGGTAGGTGTAGTTGACTTTTCATTTCGTAAACGGTGGAATCAACAGCAAAATTCCTTCAACAAAGCAAAGGAGACTAAGCTTAAATGCGCTAACTTTTAATGCACTTGCCAGTCTGATTACACATTACGGCTGGGCCTTTATTGTAGAAAAGATTCTCGACGTTTTCTTTTTTTGGCAACAATGGTTAGAAATGCTATTAAAAGCATTATCTAACTTTGTGTAAGCGGATGATGACTGATCTAAGACGTAGGAAGGCGTTACATTTGTATTTGCTTGTTGTCTGTTTCACGTGCTTGGTTGCCTAGTACATCGTGTTTTTAAGGTTATTCAGATATCTTTGTACCTCGATATCTTGCAGGTAGATTGGGTTGAGCCAGGAAAGGATGGAAAAATGACCGAAGACTGGTAGGGTTGCCACAGTTCAGTTTCTTGGGATTTATTTAATGTTTTAAACCTGAATTTCAAAAGGAAATAAAGAGTCAATACGAAGACTGTCTCTGATTTTGGATTAAAAACAGTCGTCTTAGAATACCGAGCAAGGGTTTCAATGCTGTTGTTCACAGGTTTCTTATGACCACTGAACGGTCATAGAAATATATTGAATCAAGTCTCGATCAGATATGGAATGGTATAAAGCCTTACAAGCGGTTGTTGACCGCCGGTATCAAATTTTGTGCTTTTTTTTTTTGGCATATTTCCCTCAGATTTCAAATTGTGCGCTGTTTATTCTATGTACAGCGGTACGTCCCTGTAGGAGCTACATAATGGGTTTCCTCTTGCACTTAGTACCAGACAAATCGTGGACAATGCTATGCCATTTCGGGATCACAGATACATACATGAAGGTTACAGTAATGGTTAGCTATTAAGAGAGAAAAAAATGAAAAAGGTCCAACTGAAATTATGAACACATAGTTTTGCAGAATATCTATCTATGCAATGCGTGCTTATGCTCTCTTACAGGAATGGATGCATCATTTTCCGGGATCTAGTTTGTTGCTAAATGTTTTTTTTCTATGTTATTTAATTTCTTTTCTTCAGGGCTGAGCTGCAGATACAGACAACGCAAGACTATGCAACTGACAGCTGGTTTTTCAACGTGTTCACAGGTTTGGAAGCATTTCTTAGTTATCTCATCTCCAAACATTTCGAAAAAGCACTGCGTTTTTAACACTCATCTGTTTAGAATCAAATTCATTGATTACCCAGCGAAAATTTGCTGAGCATTAGCACCCCCTCGTTTATTTAACGTTCCTAAGCCGTAGGCAGTTTCTCTCGACCGATTCAGAGACGAAGAAGGAAAAGTTGCGATTTTTGAGTTGACTGCTTTTAAGTGCTATTTCTAATCTGGTGATAAGGTCGAATTCCACCTTAATGTTTGGATAAGTTACTGAAAGTTTTCCCTTCAAACAAGGAAAAGAAACACATGTACAGGTAGTTATAGATTATGTATTTACCATCTTCGCAGGGGCCTTGAACCATCAGACTACACACCATCTGTTCCCAGGCGTGAGTCAGATATACTATCCACAGATTACTCCCATCGTCCGTGAAACGTGCAAGGAGTTTGGGGTGAGATACAATTACAAGGAGACATTCTTCCAGGCGCTTGGTTCGCATATCAACCATCTCAAGACATTGGGGCAGGAAAGAGAAAAACCACAATTTGCTTGATCCAGGAAGGACTGATTTTGACGATGACCACTTGAAAGAGAGTGGAATGGAATCCTTAGAAATTTCAAGAGTTGCACTATTGTCTTTGCTTTTACCGAATTCGTCTTATAGGGAAGTTGTTGCCGTCCTTTTTTCCCAAACTCAACATTCCTTTCCATAATATCATTCAAGCCAGCTAACCTTTTTGTAGAAATTTAGGAACAAAACTCACTTAGATTCATTGCTGTTAAATTTGTCACCTAGAGATGAACCGGCAAACTGGCTCTGTATCTTAAGGGGAAGTTCTCTGGGACTTGTTCAGGGAATTGACAAACCGAGCCACCTTTCTCTTCGAGGGAGGGGTAGAAAAGAGGTGGCCATAAGCTTCTACATCTTAAAAAAACGCGTTTTGGCCAATTTTTTTGCCCGCCCTCAGCACCGGTTAAAGTGGCTTATCACAGTTTAAATCCCTTGTGCTTTAAGAATGAGTTAGTGCTATCATTTTCTCACTACAAGTTTCCATAGCAACTTTTAGGCCTTCAAAAAATCCTCAATTGTTTTATCCCCGACGTTTTGCAGATTTGAAAAAAGGACATCTAACTGGGGCTATAATGAAAGAGCTATGAAGGAAATTTTACCGTTCTATAATCCTACCAAATGATATCTCGCTGCCGAGTTAATGAGTAATTTCAGGAAAATTGTACTAAGTAATGAACACCGAACACTGCAAAAGTCATTGCCTTCCAAGCAGGTGTGATGAAGAAAGTACATGTTACCACAGAGAACCGTTAGGGTAGACACATCAGTAGAAGACAAATGTAAGAGGATAACTACGTGTGTAAGCTATTTTCGTTTGTGTTTGTTTTCGATCTGTCCGCTGCTGTTTCATAATAGGCTTGACTTAAACGCTGGAGAAAGGAAGAATTAAGTCGATGATGTATGCTAAGAGTTTGCAGTCAATTACGGAGAGATGTTTGGAATTCTCTACCGTGTGTAAACTTAGTAACAGGAACTCGAATGAAAAAATTCTAGTTCTGAGACACATTGGTAAAGAGCTTATGTTAAAAGTTTCATAAATAAAGGGGGATGAGTTTCTAAAGAAACTGAGGTGCTACGTTGGCGGGGGAGTGTATCGAGATAATTTAGTTTTATCAACTGATTTGATAAATGTAAATAGAGTCCGTCCACTGCTGTCTCGTAGGTTTGCCTTAAGGTTTGAATGAGGTAGAAAATAAAAATGTAATTTTATGCAAAAAGGTTGAAGTGTTTTGGCTTGGTGTTAAGAATCCTGTAGTTTAGTTTGTGCGGCGTGCGCACCGCTTTGCGACGCCACGTGTTTATACTTGTCACGAAATCTAGTCATTAAGTTTACTTCCTACCCTCACAGACCGAAAAACTCGTTTTTTTTTTTTTGGAGTAGATTGAAGTTAGACATTTTAACTAACGTTTACAGAAAAAAAATTAAAAATCTCAAAAAGCGTCCGACTTATTTAGAAAAACGTATTTTCAAATAAAAGTTAATAAATCAGGAAGGTGTCATAATCTTGTAAATGGCGAACCCCCCGGGGAATGTTCGCGGCAATTTCATATCGTTTCAATATTTTGTTTATCTCGCGCACTTGACAAAATTCACACGTGGAAGTTATCTGCTCGTGGAAAGTCTTTTCTCATGGATGAAAAACATAACTCAAAATTAGAAAGTAGTCCTTGGGTAAAGAAAAAGAAGAAAAAAAACAGGCCCAAAGAAGAGAGAAATGGCAGCATTTTGTCAAAAATTTAAACAGTCCTTGCTGAAAGCGACAAAGGCTCTTTGTTTGGCTTGGAGCCTTCGACTAATCTCCTCTCGCAGTCGTTCTTTGTCTCGGGATCCCTGTGTCTCCCTCCCCACAAACTGTAAGAGAATTCTCTTACAGTTGGAAACTCGGGGTTAAAGCCGGGAAATCGCTTAAATCGCAATGGATCGGGAAAATAACCACACAGAAAGTAAAAACAAGCAAAGTAGATACGGTAAGCTGTATTTTATATATAATTCTAGTGAGTATTTATCTACTTGAATCGTTTACCTGAAATCCCATACAAATCCTTTATATTCACGGCAATTTTAGAGGGTCCCCAATAGGTTTTTCGGGATCCGGGATTTGGCTTATTTGAAGGCCGGGATTCGAGATTTTGAAGGAAAAGGGGGGACGAGATTCGGGATTGTATTTATGACCGGGACACGGGATTTGGCGATTGTAACAGGCGGGAATCAGGAAATGTCGCTTTAAAGAAACCGAGATTCGGGAATTTCGGAGGCTAGCTCATCTTATTAACGTCGGAAATGGTCGGAAATAGTCGAACAAAGACCTAGGTGACATCCACGTTTTCCACGACCCTGTCACGCTGCTCTGTGACCCCTATGGTGATCTGTGGTCTAGTTTCGAGAACCTTGGACACCTTGGCCGTAATGAGAATCCAATTTGACAATGTCTTTGTGACCTTTGTTATTTGTTGACTGTGATGTTTCTAGTATCAAGCTTATACATATCCTGATCGGTGCGCGTGGGATATTCGACGCGGGGGAGACTAGCTAAGTTATCGTTTGCGTCGGCTATCGCCTCGAGCGACTCTTAGGCTTCTTTCGTGCTTAGCAACTTTCTGCGTGCATCCATAACTCAATAGTGTACGCTGTGGTGTTTACCATTTGTTAATTCTTGTGAGTAACGATTGTGTGGACCGTCTGATGAGTTCGTAAAATAAATTAGTCTAATTTTCAAGACTGACATGTCTAAGTGACTTTTTCCTTACCTCTATTCTTTGAGTCTATTTGTGTTGTTTCTTTTCTTTTTTTTTAAGTACAAGAAATTCTAAACAGTTTATAATCTCTTGTAATTATCATTTTTTCAGCCCAAGAGATTATAAACAACAGTTCATAATCATTCGTTTCTGTCGGATACCGTATTTACCCGTGTAGAACATTCACTTTATTTCTATAAAAAATAACCATCAAAATTTCGATGCGTATTATACACGGATTCCATTATTTGTCAGGCACGTTCAAAACACAACAAAGAAAGTAGCAAAAGCTTTAATTAAATAACTCATCAATAGAAAGGCGAAATGGGCTTGCCAATTTCACCATCTACATCTGCAGTGGAGAAAATTGTTGAAACCCCTACTATGAGGGTCCCCAATAGGTTTTTTGGGATCCGGGATTTGGCTTATTTGAAGGCCGGGATTCGAGATTTTGAAGGAAAAGGGGGACGAGATTCGGGATTGTATTTATGACCGGGACACGGGATTTCGCGATTTTAACAGGCGGGAATCGGGAAATTTCGCTTTAAAAAAAACGAGATTCGGGAATTCCAGAGTTTGAAATATGCAAAGAAAATCAAGCTGTCATTTTAGCTAGCTCATCTCATTAACGTCGAAAATGGTTGGAAATAACCGAACAATGGCCTAATTGACATCCACGTTTTCCACGACCCTATCACGCTGCTCTGCGACCCCTATGGTGATCTGTGGTCTATTTTCGTGAACCTTGGACACCTTGGCCGTAATGAGAATCCAATTTGACAATGTCTTTGTGACCTTTGTTATTTGTTGACTGTGATGTTTCTAGTATCAAGCTTATACATGTGCGCGTGGGATATTCGACGCGGGGGAGACTAGCTAAGTTATCGTTTGCGTAGTTTAACGCGCCCTAGCGATGTCGGTTAACATCGACAATGATGCTGTCAATGTTATTAGCTGCGTAGCTTTTATGAGAAGGGGAAGAGCGGAAATTCGTCTCTTGTTTTGTTGCCTCTACTAATTTAGACTTTTGGAACTATTACATTGCATTGCGAATGAAGACAATGAATTGCGAGAACTTCGACCGTGAAAAATGACATGGCGAGTGTTATAATCACACGGGTAGCCCAAGCTCTGTCACAGGCTCTTTCACAGTGAATAATTAAAGAGTTTGTATAGTGGTTTAGTTGGACTTGTTTTTGAGCTCCCTTAAAGTTGGGCGAAATAATCAAAGAAATAAAGTCTTACCTTCATAGAGACTAGTCTGTGTTGTTCTCCTCGCGATTTGAGGCCGTTT